TAAAAAAACGCAAGTAAACAAAGTAAAAAAGACGCTTGGTTTTTCGGTGAGGGTGCAAATACTAATATTCGATCTACTGACTTCCTTTTCTATTTTTTGAATATCAAATTGAAAATACTATTTATGAGTTTTCTCCTTTTCCTCTTTTTTTTCAAGAATTAAGTTCTTATTTTTCATTTACCTTAACTTTTTCAATTAACATAGTGATAATGAAGTTAGCTCTTGGTTGTTTATTAAGTATCAATTGACTGATATAAGATTTAGCAATGCTTTGCTACTGCTGAATGGAGCATTGGGATATATACATTAATTGTGATTTTCCTTGTTTCAATATATTTTCTTCGTTTTTTTAAATCACATCTTGATACAAGTTTTGAATTTTAGACTATAATTGTACTTCCATGAATAGATAGTAATTCATATTTAACTTCATCATAATATCTAAAATCTATTTTAGATTTTGGCCTAATTTGTTTCTATTAAGGTAAAAATGTTTGAATCTGAATACACATCTGAATATTAAGATTTACATTAAGATCTGGTGTTTTGATCTCAATATATATCTGATTTTAAGATGTGGGCTATAAATCTGAACACTAAATAATTAATGTTGTTTGTTTTCAATATCAGAATGTGTTAGTGAAATTGAACATTATATTAATAAAATATTATAACATTTTCATTTCAACATAATCTATCACTTTTGATTAAAAAAAAAGTTTTAATAATCATTATTTGGATTACTATTTTTTCATTAAAAAAACTTGATAAACAAAACACTAAAATTATTATTGCAACAGTGTTCTTGACACAAATCAATACATGAAAATTATTCATATAAAAAAAATAATTGAAGGGATTTAGGAAAACTTACCAATTGGAAAAAAAATGGTGTTTGATTGAGAAAATTTTTTTAGTTATGAGATAAAAAGGCACGTCCAAAGCAAATAAGCTATAATTTATTATTTGATAACTTATCAAATAAGTTTGAATGTTGTTAAGAGTCTCCTACAAATCTGATTCATTTAGACCTCTTCGGATACATTAAGAGATTTTCAAAAAATAAAACAAATGAACTTAATGGACTGAATCTGAATGACTCAGATTCAGACTTAAAACCAAACTTGCTTAATGGGCTGAATCAGAATGACTAAGATTCAGACCTCCATTAAATGCAAACAAATGAGGCCTTAGTGAACTTTGACTTTCTTACTAAATAAACGCAAGTAATAAGGACAAAAATTTAGTGTTGAAGATTCTTTCTTGGTTTTCGGGTGAAGGCACAAATACTAATTTTTAGATCACGATCTAATAACTTCTTTTTCTATTTTTTGAATGTCAAATTGAAAATATTATTTATGAGGTTTTTCATTTTCCTTTTTCGAGAATAAAGTCCTTACTACTTAGTTATCATTTACCTTAACTTTTTAAATTAAAATTAGTGGCAATGAAGTTAGCTCTTAGGTGTTGATTAAGTATCAACTGTTAGTTTTAATGACAGATATATGATTTAGCCATGTTTTGTTACTGTAGAACAGAGAGATGGGCTACATTAACTGTACTTTTCCTTGCGAATCTTCTTCGTTATATTTTTGTTTTCAATCTTTTAAGCACATCATGAGAAAAGTTATGAATTTCTTAATATAAAATGTTTGACTTCATCGTAATATCTAAAATCTACTTCATATTCAGTTAACTTTAACTTTCTTACTGAAAAAAACGCAAGTAAATATAGTAAAAAAGACGCTTGGTTTTTTGGTGAGGGTGCAAATACTGATATTCGATCTACTTACTTCCTTTTCTATTTTTTGAATATCAAATTGAAAGTACTATTTATGAGTTTTCTCGTTTTCCTCTTTTTTTCAAGAATTAAGTTCTTATATTTCATTTACCTTAACCTTTTCAATTAACATAGTGATAATGAAGTTAGCTCTTAGTTGTTGATTAAGTATCAATTGACTGATATACGATTAAGCCATGTTTTGCTACTGCTTAATAGAGCATTGTGATATATACATTAACTGTGATTTTCCTTGTTTCATTATATTTTCTTCATTCTTTTAAATCACATCTTGATACAAGTTTTATGTTTAAGACTATAATCATACTTCCATGAATAGATAGTAATTCATATTTAACTTCATCATAATATCTAATATCTATTTCAGATTTCGTTAACTTTGACTTTTCTTACTAAAAGAACGCAAAGTAATAAGGACAAAAGTTTAGTGTTGAAGATTCTTCCTTGGTTTTCTGGAGAAGGCATAAATACTAATATTTAGATCACTATCTAATAACTTCTTTTTCTATTTTTTGAAT